TCTTTCCCTTCACAGCATCTTTCCATTTCTATTGTACTGTTCCCTCCTGTCTAGCACAGAATGAACTAGTGATGCTGGTGAATCTGTCCGTGTTATGATGTGGTTCCCACAGCTGTGGCTCACTGTGTCCTCTTTTCTCTTCATCTGTCGATTCCTGCCCCTTGTGTCTCCCTCTCTCTTATTTGTTTCCCTTCTGTATATCATCTTCTCATGATATACTGCCCCCAACTTTGTATTTCTTTTCTTTGCATGCCTTCTCCTCTGCTTCTCTCCCTCCCTCCGTCCTTCTCTGCATCTCTCCTCTTCATCCTCCGCCGCCCTCCTTCCCCGCAGTTCACTGTCTGCAGGCTGCCGAGGAAGCACCTTCACGTTCATCATGTCCAGAATCAACCTGCGGATCCGGGAGCTGCTTTTCTCCTCCCTCCTGTGCCAGGACCTTGCTTTCTTCCAGGAGACTAAGACAGGTAGGCCCTGGAGTCCAGGTCTGGGATCCCCCAGGACTTCCTTTCCCCTCCACTGCCCTCCCCCTGCATCCCTGATGCCAAGGCCTGGAGCTGTTTTTCTCTCTTTGGGGACCATGTAGAGAGGCAGTCTCCACCTGTCTGTCTGCAGGGAGGGAGGGCTGTGTGAGATTGGGAGCTCAGGAGGGAGTTTCTGGGGGTTCTGCATTACAACATGTGGTTTCCTCACCTGCTTTGTCCTGCCCAGGGGAGCTGAATTCTCGCCTGAGCTCGGATACCAAACTGATGAGTAACTGGCTTCCTTTTAATGCCAACGTGCTGTCTCGAAGCCTGGTGAAAGTGCTGGGACTTTACAGCTTCATGCTCAACCTGTCACCTCGACTCACCCTCCTTTCTCTGCTTGAGGTGCCTCTAATGACAGCGGCTGAAAAGATGTATATTGCTCGCCATCAGGTACGTGTGGATCGTAGGGAATCCCCAGGGAAGAAGAAAGTTCTCCTAGAGACCTTCTCCTCCAGGCCCTTAGAGGCTTCAGAAGGTCCATGACCCTCTGGGACTTTGTGTGTGTGACAGAGATGGGGGGGTGGGAAGAGGTGGGGGCAGAGAGAGAGAGAGAGAGAGAGAGACTTTCAGGTTATTTTCCATTATAGGTTATTAAAAGATGTTGAATGTAGTTCCCTGTGCTATACAGTAAATCCTTGTTGCTTATCTATTTTGTGTTAGTAGTTTGTATCTGTTCATCTCAAACTCTTAATTTATCCACTCCCCCCTTGCCCCACTTTTGGTAACCATAAGTTTGTTTTCTACGTCTGTGAGTCTGTTTCTGTTTGTATACAGATTCATCTGTATTATTTTTTTAGATTCCACAAGTAAATGATATCATATAATATTTGTCTTTCTCTGTCTGACTTACTTCACTTAGCGTGAAGAGAGCGTTCCAAGGGCTGGAATGAGACGTGGGGATCGGCTGTCTTCTGCCGAATCAGCCCCTCCCATCTCCTGCCCCACTTTTCCAGGCAGTCCTTCAGGAGATCCAGGAGGCTGTGGCGAAAGCAGGACAGGTGGTACGTGAGGCAGTTGGAGGGCTGCAGACTGTGCGCAGTTTTGGGGCGGAGCAGCAAGAGGTCCGTCGCTATAAGGAGGCTCTTGACCGATGCCGGCAGCTGTGGTGGCGACGAGATCTGGAAAACGCCCTCTACTGTCTCTTAAGGAGGGTGAGAAGGCTGAGTGGCTGGAGGAAGGGCCCAGGGAGGGGGCAGGGAAAGTGATGGTCCTCTTCCTACAGCTGGTCCGGGGGTCGCTCAGTGTCATAGGGGCAGGGAGGCCAAAGAATGGAAGATTCTCAGGCTCCCTTTCCTTCTCCCTCCAGATGCTGCACTTGACAATGAAGGTTATATTGCTGAGACGTGGGCTGCAGCAGATCGTGGCTGGAGACCTCACCCAGGGCGGGCTGCTCTCCTTTCTGCTCTACCAGGAGGACGTGGGCTGCCACGTGGAAGTGAGTCGGGAGCTGTGCACGCTCTCTTTTCCCGCTCTGTCTTCTATTTGTTCCCCTAAAAAAAACAAACAAACTGAAATAACCCCAACTCATTGTGATGGAGAATTTCAAACATGGGCAATAAAAGAGAAAAAAACTATAATGTGAACCTCCATGTACCCAACATCTGTTTTTTTTTTTTAACCTTTTTTTTCTTTATTTTATTAAAAATTTTTGTTTTATATTAGGGTATAGTTGATTCACAGTGTTGTGTTAGTTTCAGGTGTACAGCAAAGTGAATCAGTTATACATATATCCACTCTTTTTTAGATTCTTTTCCCATGTAGGTCTTTACAGAGTATTGAGTAGAGTTCCCTGTGCTAACAGTAGGTCCTTATTAGTTATCTATTTTATATATAGTAGTGAGTATATATCATAGGATATTGAATATAGTCCTCTCTGCTATACAGTAGGACCTTGTTGTTTATCCCCCAGCATCTGTTTTAACAATTACCAATTCATGGCCAATCTTATTTAATCTGTAACCCCACCCACTTCCCTCCCCCCATATTATTTTGAAGCAAATCCAAGATACGGTTTCATCTGTAAAGATGTATCACTAAATGTAAACATTAAAATACATATAACCACAAAGCCATGACCACACCAAAAGAATTAACAGCTTCACCAAATGCAAGTCAATGATCAGATTTTCACATTTTTCATAGAGGTATATATTACACTGATTTCTTTCTCTCTCTCATATACATCTGTGGTGACAGCAACCAGTAAAGCTTAGATCCATTAAATCATTTGCGGTGGCAAAACGGCGACACTCCACCATTCCTTCATTTATTAGATGCATGTCTCAAGGGAGATGTCTCCTCATCTACTGTTTGGTTGCCAAGTGGTACAGTTTGATTAGGAAAGGCCAGTAATTGTTTAGTTCCTTCCTATATTTACCAGTTTTCAAAAATAATTAGTTACTGGATCTTGGGCTTTATAAGTTTCGTAGACACGGATTAAACATCTTTTATGGGTGGAGAGCTGTGCAAAGCAGTCTGCCATCTGCAAAGAGGAGGTGGGCACAGCACCCGCTTTTTTTTGTTTCTTGCGGTACGCGGGCCTCTCACTGTTGTGGCCTCTCCTGTAGCGGAGCACAGGCTCCGGACGCGCAGGCTCAGCGGCCATGGCTCACGGGCCCAGCCGCCCCACGGCATGTGGGATCTTCCCAGACCGGGGCACGAACCCGTGTCCCCTGCATCGGCAGGCGGACTCTCAACCACTGCACCACCAGGGAAGCCCAGCACCCGCTTTTAAGGCGTTCCCTGTATAACTCGGCCAGACAGAACTGTGTACGAGTAATTGGAAAGGTCTGGGGTTGGAAGGACTCTGGTCTCCATCCTTTACCTGGCAAATTGGAATAATGGGGTATTGGTGCCCCTTTGAAATTCAGGCAAATTGCACATTAAGGGGACTTCCCTGGCGGTCCAGTGATTAGTACTCCATGCTTCCACTGCAGGGGGCACGGGTTTGATCCCTGGTCGGGGAAACAGGATCCCACATGCCCTGTCGCACAGCCAAAAAAAAAAAAAAAATCGCACATTAACAGTAGGGAATCGGGACTTCCTTGGTGGCGCAGTGGTTAAGAATCCGCCTGCTAGTGCAGGGGACACGGGTTTGATCTCTGGTCCGGGAAGATCGCACATGCCGCAGAGCAACTAAGCCCGTGCTCCACAGCTACTGAGCCCGCGAGCCACAACTACTGAGCCCACGCGCCACAACTACTGAAGCCCGCGTGCCTAGAGCCCGTGCTCTGCAACAAGAGCAGCCACTGCAATGAGAAGCCTGTGCACTGCAACCAAGAGTTGTCCTCACTTGCCACAACTAGAGAAAGCCTGTGCGCAGCAACGAAGACCCAATGCAGCCAAAAATAAATAAATAAATATACATATCTATATACATGTGTATATATCTATATCTATCTATCTATCTATATATAAAAGGTAGGGAATCTTTTTTGGATGAGGGGAGAAGCATGGCTGGGTTGGAGTGTGGCAGGGAGGGTGTGAGGAGTTGGGAAGTTGGTTCCTGGTGGAGCTTCCTTTGCTTGGCTGACCCCTGCCTTCCTGTTTTGCAGACCCTGGTGTACATGTTTGGGGACATGCTGAGCAATGTGGGGGCTGCAGAGAAGGTGTTCTGCTACCTGGACCGAAAGCCAAATCTGCCTCCAGCTGGGACACTGGCCCCGCCCACTCTGCAGGGCCTGATGGAATTCCAGAACGTCTCCTTTGTGTATCCCAATCACCCTGACCAGCCTGTGCTCAAGGTGCCCAACGAAGACCCCAGGGAGGGAATCTGGGCCCCTCACGCCCTGAGTGATGAGAAGCTTATCCTTCTCTGATAGAAAGAAGAGGAGAGGGAGGGCAAACAGGCAGCCCCCTAACTCTTTCCTGCCTTTTCTAGGGTGTGACATTCACCCTGCCTCTTGGGAAGATGACCGCACTGGTGGGGCCCAGTGGATCTGGAAAGAGCACAGTAGCTGCTCTGCTGCAGAATCTGTACCAGCCCACCGAGGGGCAGGTGCTGCTGGATGGGGAGCCCATCTCCCAGTATGAGCGCCACTACCTACACCAACAGGTGGGTGGGGAGGAAGGAGAGGGATTGCAGATTGGATGTGCACACAAGGGAAGAAACACAAGGGGTCCATTGTGAGGTAGGTAGGCGATGAGGAAAGGAGGGTCCCTGCCATGGGGGTTTCCACATGGTCCTCTGCTCCTGTCGCCTCTGCCCAGGTGGTTCTGGTCGGGCAGGAGCCTGTGCTGTTCTCAGGTTCGGTGAGGTACAACATCGCTTATGGGCTGAAGGGCTGCAGCGATGAGAAGGTGCTGGCTGCTGCACGGGCGGCCAGAGTGGAGGAGTTCATAAAGGAAATGAAACACGGACTTGATACAGGTACCTTCTTTTTTTTTTAAACATCTTTATTGGAGTATAATTGCTTTACAGTGGTGTGTTGGTTTCTGCTTTATAACAAAGTGAATCAGCTATACGTATACATATATCCCCATATCCCCTCCCTCTTGCGTCTCCCTCCCACCCTCCCTATCTCACCCCTCTATGTGCACACAAAGCACCGAGCTGATCTCCCTGTGCTATGCTGCTGCTTCCCACTAGCTATCTGTTTACATTTGGTAATGTTTATATGTCCATGCCACTCTCTCACTTCATCCCAGCTTACCCTTACCCCTCCCCATGTCCTCAAGTCCGTTCTCTACATCTGTGTCTTTATTCCTGTCCTGCCCCTAGGTTCTTCAGAACCTTTTTTTTAGATTCCATATATATGTGTTAGCATCCGGTATTTGTTTTTTTCTTTCTGACTTACTTCACTCTGTATGACAGACTCTAGGTTCATCCACCTCACTACAAATAAATCAATTTCATTTCTTTTTATGGCTGAGTGATATTCCATTGTATATATGTGCCACATCTTCTTTACCCATTCATCTGTCGAAGGACACTTAGGTTGCTTCCATGTCCTGGCTATTGTAAACAGTGCTGCAGTGAACATTGTGGTACATGACTCCTTCTGAATTATGGTTATCTCAGGATATATGCCCAGTAGTGGGATTGCTGGGTCATATGGTAGTTCTATTTTTAGTTTTTTAAGGAACCTCCATGCTGTTCTCCGTAGTGGCTGTATCAATTTACATTCCCACCAACAGTGCAAGAGGGTTCCTTTTTCTCCACACCCTATCCAGCATTTATTGTTTGTAGATTTTTTGATGATGGCCATTCTGACCGGTGTGAGGTGATACCTCATTGTAGTTTTGACTTGCATTTCTCTAATGATTAGTGATGTTGAGCATCCTTCCATGTGTTTGTTGGCAATCTGTATATCTTTGGAGAAATGTCTATTTAGGTCTTCTGCCCATTTTTGGATTGGGTTGTTTGGTTTTTTGATAATGAGCTGCCTGACCTGCTTGTAAATTTGGGAGATTAATCCTTTGTCATTTGCTTCATTTGCATATATTTTCTCCCATTCTGAGGGTTGTCTTTTGGTCTTGTTTATGGTTTCCTTTGCTGCGCAAGAGTTTTTAAGTTTCATTAGGTCCCATTTGTTTATTTTTGTTTTTATTTCCCTTTCTCTGGGAGGTGGGTCAAAAAGGATCTTGCTGTGATTTATGTCATAGAGTGTTCTGCCTATGTTTTCCTCTAAGAGTTTTATAGTGTCTGGCCTTACATTTAGGTCTTTAATCCATTTTGAGTTTATTTTTGTGTATGGTGTTAGGGAGTGTTCTAATTTCATTCTTTTACATGTAGCTGTCCAGTTTTCCCAGCAGCACTTATTGAAGAGGCTGTCTTTTCTCCATTGTATATTCTTGCCTCCTTTATCAAAGATAAGGTGACCATGTGTTCGTGGGTTTATCTCTGGGCTTTCTATCCTGTTCCACTGATCTATATTTCTGTTTTTGTGCCAGTACCATACTGTCTTGATTACTGTAGCTTTGTAGTATGGTCTGAAGTCAGGGAGCCTGATTCCTTCAACTCCATTTTTCTTTCTCAAGATTGCTTTGGCTATTCGGGGTCTTTTGTGTTTCCATACAAATTGTGCAAATTTTTTTTCTTGTTCTGTGAAAAATGCCATTGGTAGTTTGATAGGGATTGCCCTGAATCTGTAGATTGCTTTTGGTGATACAGTCATTTTCACAATGTTGATTCTTCCAATCCAAGAACATGGTATATCTCTCCATCTGTCTTTATCATCTTTAATTTCTTTCATCAGTGTCTTATAGTTTTCTGCATACAGGTCTTTTGTCTTCTTAGGTAGGTTTATTCCTAGGTATTTGATTCTTTTTGTTGCAGTGGTAAATGGGAGTGTTTCCTTAATTTTTCTTTAAGATTTTTCATCATTAGTGTATAGGAGTGCAAGAGATTTCTGTGCATTAATTTTGTATCCTGCTACATTACCAGATTTATTGATTAGCTCTAGTAGTTTTCTGGTAGCATCATTAGGATTCTCTATGCATAGTATCATGTCATCTGCAAACAGTGACAGTTTTACTTCTTCTTTTCCGATTTGGATTCCTTTTATTTCTTTTTCTTCTCTGATTGCTGTCTCTAAAACTTCCAAAAGTATGTTGAATAATAGTGGTGAGAGTGGGCAACCTTGTCTTGTTCCTGATCTTAGTGGAAATGGTTTCAGTTTTTCACCATTGAGAATGATGTTGGCTGTGGGTTTGTCATATATGGCCTTTATTATGTTGAGGTAAGTTCCCTCTTTGCCTACTCTCTGAAGGGTTTTTGTCATAAATGGGTGCTGAATTTTGTCGAAAGCTTTTTCTGCATCTATTGAGATGATCATATGCTTTTTCTCCTTCAATTTGTTAATATGGTGTATCACGTTGATTGATTTGTATATATTGAAGAATCCTTGCATTCCCGGAATAAACTCCACTTGATCATGGTGTATGATCCTTTTAATGTGCTGTTGGATTCTGTTTGCTAGTATTTTGTTGAGGATTTTTGCATCTATGTTCATCAGTGATATTGGCCTGTAGTTTTCTTTCTTTGTGACATCTTTGGTTTTGGTATCAGGATGATGGTGGCCTCATAGAATGAGTTTGGGAGTGTTCCTCCTTCTGCCATATTTTGGAAGAGTTTGAGAAGGATAGGTGTTAGCTCTTCTCTAAATGTTTGATAGAATTTGCCTGTGAAGCCATTTGGTCCTGGGCTTTTGTTTGTTGGAAGATTTTTAATCACAGTTTCAATTTCAGTGCTTGTGATCGGTCTGTTTATATTTTCTCTTTCTTCCTGGTTCAGTCTCAGAAGGTTGTGCTTTTCTGAGAATTTGTCCATTTCTTCCAGTTTGTCCATTTTATTGGCATAGAGTTGCTTGTAATAATCTCTCATGATCCTTTGTATTTCTGCAGTGTCAGTTGTTACTTCTCCTTTTTCATTTCTAATTCTATTGATATGTGTCCTCTTCCTTTTTTTCTTGATGATTCTTGCTGATGGTTTATCAATTTTGTTTATCTTCTCAAAGAACCAGCTTTTAGTTTTATTGATCTTTGCTATCGCTTTCTTCATTTCTTTTTCATTTATTTCTGATCTGAACTTTATGATTTCTTTCCTTCTGCTAACTTTGGGGTTTTTCATTCTTCTTTCTCTAATTGCTTTAGGGATACAGGTGCCTTCAGCCAAACCCACTCACCTCCCTCCCCAGCATCATGAGTTCTGTAGCTGCCTGTCCAGCTCAGGAGCCTTTGTTCCCGGAGAGCAGGGCAGTTCCCGGAGAGCAGGGTGATGATGCTCTATCTACACGGGCAGCCCTAGAGGTCCCTCCCCTACCCCAGGCCCTCATCCGCCTAATTGTTGGCTGTGGAAATACAAGCTGTGCTTGTGAGGAGGATGCTGTCGTGGTCACCTGTGTCTGAGGAGAGGGATTTCTCGGTTTCCTCAGAGGTGGGGGAGAAAGGGAACCAGTTGGCTGTGGGGCAGAAGCAACGTCTGGCCATCGCCCGGGCCCTTGTGAGGGACCCCCGGGTCCTCATCCTGGATGAAGCCACCAGTGCCCTGGACGTGGAGTGTGAGCAGGCTGTGAGTACTGGGCTGGGAGGGGCAGGGGCGGTGGGACCTTTCTTAGGGCTGGGATGGAATGGAGGCTACCTGGGGGTGGTGTGGGGACATCCCTGATGCCGCCATGGCTCCCGTCCCATCCTCCAGCTGCCACAGCCCCGCTGAGAGAGGAGGGCAGCGCAGACCTTTCCCTCCCGCTCTGTCTTACCTTCTCGTGTTTCATGCCTTCTCTACCCTAAGTCGCTAGAGATGGTGCCCAGTGGGGCCGTGGCGTCCATCTCATTCTTATCTTTCTGAGGTGTTACGATCCTCCCCCTTCAGCTGCGGGACTGGAAAGCTCACGGGGACCGAACGGTGCTGGTGATCGCCCACAGGCTGCACACGGTTCTGAGCGCCGACCAGATCCTGGTGCTGAGGCAGGGAGAGCTGCAGGACCATGTGCAGCTCATGGAGAGGCAGGACCTCTACTCCTGCCTGGTGCAGCAGAGCAGGAGGACTGAGACCCCAGAGATGCTGGAGCCTTCTCAGGGCCATCTCAGTGACCCAGAGTAGCTCCTGCTTTGGCTTTCCCTGGGGGTGTTCCCCTGGGTGGTTGTTTTTGGAGCTGGAGGCACGATGATGGAGATTTAGACCATGTGTACTTTCGTTGGGAGGGCAAGGGGTTGCTTTCTGTATCCAGGGACCTTATTTCCTTGATGAACAGAGCTTTGCCTGGTGCTGAGTACTGTACTGTGGCATCATAAGTACATTTCAAAATATTTTTTCCTTATATAAATAGCACACATTTGTATAGGAAATGTGGACAATAGAGACAGGTAGGAAGGAGAAAAGTAAAACTACACACTGTTTCACATCCCAGAGATAATCACAGGGACTATTTTGCTGGCTGTCTTATCAGCCTTTGAATTGTTCTTTGAGATACATATTAACCAGTATGACATAAATATTCATGAGTTTGCCTTTCTGTATCCTTCCCCATTCCCACCAGGACCTGATATTTTGTTGGGGAGCTAGGGTATGGTGGGAGAGAGGACTGTTCCCTAATTAACAGTATGAATAAAATATTGATGAGTTACTGTGTACAGAGTTTTAATATGAGTAGGAACGATGCTAAGCCTTTTTCATGTATTATCATTTTTAATCCTTATCCTCAGCCCTTTGAGATTGTTAGTTATTATCCCCATTTTATGGCTGAGAATACTGAGTCTCAAAGAGATTAAAGGACTTTCCCAAGGTTGCACAGTGGTGGAATTGGACTTGGAATCCAGGCCTGACCCCAGAGTCCATGCTCTCAACTAATACATTATATTGCATTTTGTGTCATAATCTACTTTATAATCAGATCAAGTAAAGCTCTTTCACTTCTAGCTCCGAACAGCTCTGAATCCCTTATCTTCTCTCTGATCTCGTTGTTGTAACTTTCATTCATAGCGTGAGATGATCTCATATTCAGAGAGGTTCCCCTACCGTTGGTGCACCTCTTCCAGCCATTGTTCACAAAGTCATTCTTCTTTCTAAAAGACGCATAAGACGATGTCACTCCTGTAAAATCCTGCCTGTGTCTTCACCCGTTTTTCTGCTCACATCTTCCTCAGAGACAGTTTTTCTAGCCCGTTTGTCTCACCTTTCTTGTTGGATTAAACTTCCTGCCCTCCTGATGCCTTTGTGCCTCTGAATATGTTGTTTCCTGCCATTCGGTGAACGACGCTCCTGGATTTGCCCCAGTTCTTTAAGATTCAACTCAGGATTCAAGTCTCCCAAGAAGCCTTGCTTTATCTTCTCAGTCTGGAGAAAGTGCCCTTTCTACGCGCTCTTGTTGCTCTGCTGCTGGGGCTTACCTCTCTCACAGTCCCTATTAAACTCTCCACCGCCCACTGTAGACCTCTGTCTTTCCACTAGACCATGAGCCCTTGCGGGGGAGGCCGTCTGTCTTATTAAGCTTTATATCTACTACCTGGCACAGGGCTCCATTCCTAGTGGACAATAAATAAATGTTTGTTGGGTAAATGAATAAATCTCCTTCCTCTACTGTCTTCCATCTTAATCCTCCCCACACGTACAAATCATGGAAAATCCAAAGCTGTACACGTCACTGGTTATTGGAAGGGTCTTAAAGTGGACGGTTCCTATTCTAGGAAATTGAAGCTTTCACTTTCCCAGAAATAGCAGGTACTTTCCCAGCTAGCAATGAACTCACCAGAACTTTTTGTTGTTTTGGATTTTTTTTTTTTTTTTTCCTGCCTGGCAACTGTTGGGAGCAAGGTGAGGCCAGAGTAAGGAACTTCTTATGCAGATAAATCTTTGCTTCATCCTGCTGCTGTCTTACTGCTCCACACCTGTTTATCTCTCAGATTTCACCGAGGGTGAAATAAGCATTGGGAGAGAGAGAAGGCTGGCCTGATTCCTTCCCCTCCCCACCAAAAGTCTTTCTTCTATTTATAAAGTAGGAATAATAATTTCTGTATCTCCCAACGTTATGGAAACTATAGTCCTCACAGAAGATCTATTAATCTTTGATGTCCTCAGTACAAATTATACCCATTGACTCAAAATACTTGAAACTTGGAAGACATCTTAAAAATAGTATAGCTGTCAAATCTTACATTACAGATAGGGAAAGTGGCCTGAAATCACACAGCTAATCAGTGACAGAGCTGGGAGGAAAACTCAGGCATCCTGATGGGCAGTACGGGAAGATACAGCAGAGCTTAGGATCATAAGCGGTCGTGAAAACTGGTTATCTCAGGGAAACTTCCAAGTACGCCTTATTTCAGGGACACAGAAAAATGTTCCCCGACAGAGTGTTCAACAAATCCTTACAAGTGTGGTCTGCCTGGCAACCACAGACATTAGTAATTCTGATTTGTCCACAGAGTTCTTTTCATTTCCCCCTCCTACTACCCATCACCATTTGACTTCTGCCCCTTAATTTCCCCTTCTTCTTGTCACTTACCTTCAGTGCCTTTCCTGCTCAGCCATGTACTACTCTTTCCAAAGCGAGATATGAATGGAGAGGAGGACCCTTAGGAAACTCTCAGATTACTTTGGAGCCCCAAACAACCTCCCTCCCCGTCTGCTCTGCCCAGTGTGGGAATAACATTGAACTTAAAGTACTTTACACCCCAGCCGAGTGGGGCAGCCACTTTTAGTCTGCATGGCAGTCGTGGTTCAGGAGAAGGAAGTGTGGAGTCAGAATCGGGGGGAAAGGACAAGGGCATAAGGAAAACAAAAATCTGTTTTGGGCGCTGAGTGAAAGGAGCATCCATTCACTTGGGTCCGATGCCACCTGCTGGCCCTAGGAAAGACTGAGTCTTCAACCTAGAGTTTCAAGGGCTTTTATGAATTGTAATAATTCAGTATCGATGATAATCATTCACGGAGTGCCCTCTGTGTGCTTCTGCTGTGCTAAGTGCCTGCCATATACCGTCTTACTTTATCTTTAAGATAATCCCGTGTGGCAGGTGTTACTATCCCAATTCTAAGAATGAGAGTGGAGATTTAGAGACATTTACTCACTTGCCTGGGACACAGAGCCAGGAAAAGGTGGACTTTGCTTAACTTTACAGCAGAACTCCTCAAAAGAGTTTGCTATACTGCTTGTATCCACTTACCCTCTTACTATTCTCTTTTTTAAAGATACAGTTCATGTGAATAAGCAATACATTAATTAATGTGGTTTAAAATTCAAAAGGCACAACATGGTCTACGGAGGAGAGCTTCACTCCCATCCTTCCCCACAGTTGGCCAGTACCCCTTGCTTTGGCGATCCATACTTCAAGCTTTATCCTTCCAGAGAAACAATGTACTGTACATTTAAGCATATATATGGATATATTCTCGCTCCCTATTATTACAAATAGCAGCTCCCTAAATTCCCAGTTCTGAAATTTACTTCTTTTAATCTATTTTTGACTGACTGCTTTGGGTCTTCGTTGCAGCATGCAGGCTTTCTCTAGTTGCAGCGAGCGGGGGCTACTCTTCGTTGTGGTGGGTGGGCTTCTCATTGCGGTAGCTTCTTTTGTTGCGGAGCGCGGGCTCTAGGCACGCGGGCTTCAGTAGTTGTGGCATGTGGGCTCAGTAGTTGTGGCTCGAGGGCTCTAGAGCGCAGGCTCAGTAGTTGTGGCACATGGGCTTAGTTGCTCCTTGGCATGTGGGATCTTCCCTGACCAGCGTTCGAACCCGTGTCTCCTGCATTGGCAGGCGGATTCTTAACCACTGCACCACCAGGGAAGTCCTGAAATTTACTTTTTAAACTTTAGAAATATATGGCTCTAATGTATGCTATTTTATGGAAGTGCCATATTTCATTTAGCCTGTCTCCTTTTATTGATGAGTAGTTAGGCTATCAGAAGTGTTTTGCTATTATAAGCAATGTCTTGAATAGACATTGTTATACACATGTGCGAGAATAGGACTAGGATAAAATCCTGAAGAGGACGTTGCCAAGTCTAAATGTTTATATACTATTAATATTGATAGATATTGGAAAATTGCCGTCATGGAGATTGTATGAATGCAGAATTACATCAGCAGTATATGAGTTTATCTCTTTCCCCACATTCTCATCAACACAGAGTGTTGTAAAATTTTTAGATTTTGTGACTCTTATAGATAAAAAGTGGCATCGTACTGAAGTTGTCATGTGGTTTATTTTTGTTACCACTTAAGGAGGAAGGATACTGAACCCAGAAAGAAAAATTGGGATGCAATAAGCAAAGATGAGTAAACACACACACATGCGCACACACCACCACAACCATCGTTAACTGAAACCTGTCTAAAATATTGGTAAATCAGACTGAGGAATGAAAAATGACTATAACTACAAAAATCACTGGCAATAATGACAAATTTAAGAACATGATGGAATAATCAGAAATAACATAAGAGTGAGGCAGATAAAGTAAAAGAATTCTAAAGTCTTGGTCTTATTTGGCAGGAGGGCAGAGATATTGATTAACTTCGGATGTTGCTAAATTAGGCAGTCATGTTAAAAATGTAGGGGTAAATCTTAATGAATAAAAATTAAAACTCCTAAGCCAGGAGGGGGAAATTAGAGATTACTTAGAATATTTAATTAGTTTAATGTAAGTGATGAAAGAAGAATAAAGGAAGCAAAGAACATAGCACAATATGTGATAATAGAAACAAATCCAGACAACTTAGTAGTCACAGAAATGTAAATAGCTTAAATTTAGAAGTTAAAAGAAAGAAGTTCTCAGATTGGATTAATACTATCACAAAATCTAGTTATAAGCCCTTCACATGAGTCACAAAGAAAACTTAAATACTTGAAAAGGTTAAAATCAAAATGTGTAATATGATGTGTAAAGCTAACACTAATAGAAGATAGTTCATGTAGCTACATTGACATCTAAAAATATGCATAATGGGACTTCCCTGGTGGTCCAGTGGGTAAGACTCTGCTCTCCCAGCACAGGGGGCCCAGGTGTGATTCCCGGTCAGGGAACTAGATCCTGCATGCTTGTTGCAACTAAGACCTTGCACACCGCAACTAAGATCCGGCACAGCCAAAATAAATAAATTAATAAACAAACAAACAAATATTACAAAATAAATAAATTAAAATATGCATAATGATAACAAGGAGTCACCAGGACATTATACTA